ATTTGTAAATCTTTTCTTCTTTTCATTTGTTGTCCGATTTGATTTTTAGAACCTTATGAATTTAACATATATAAAAATAAATATTTACAATTTTTTCATCTTCATTTCAAAATAAATATCAAAATCTTGTAATTTTTTGAAAATTTCCCCTACAAATATACATTTTTATGCACCAACTTTACATTAAACTAGAAATTTTCTTTCTTTTACAAATAAAAGCAGCATGAAGCCAAAGAAGCAAATTTCGACCACAAAATCTTTAAAGCAAAAGCAGCTCTTCTTCCTCTCCATACCTCCACTCTCTCTTATAAAGCAACAAAGAAAACGTAGAAAGAGACAGAGCCAACCATCCTTTCTCTCTCAAACAACAACAAGACGACCAAAAGAAAAGAAAAGAAAAAAATCTAAGATGTATAGGCTAAGTAACGCCGTAATAGGATACCTAAACCTCCTCACCCTTCTCTCATCAATCCCAATCATCGGCGGGGCGCTATGGGTGGCTCGGAGCTCCGCCACCTGCGAATCGGCACTTCAAACTCCACTCCTCGCCGTGGGATTCGTGGTTCTCGTCGTCTCACTCGCCGGCTTCATCGGGGCCTGTTTCAACGTGGTGTGCGCGCTTTGGGTATATCTCTTCGCGATGCTCTTATTGATCGCTGCGCTGCTCTCCATAATGGCGTTCGGCTTCGCCGTCACAGGCGGCGGCGGGGGAGTTCAAGTCCCCGGCCGGATCTACCGTGAGTATGACTTGTCCGATTACTCGGCTTGGCTCCGCCACCGGATCCAGGAGGAGAAGTATTGGCGAGCCGCACGTGCCTGCGTTGTGGGGTCCAAGGCTTGTGCCAACGTGGCGCGCTGGACACCGCTTGATTATCTGCAGCGCGACCTCACGCCGATTCAGGTGCGATTTTATCATTCTTTGATTAATTTTAATTATCAGTAGGGATGATTAGAGCACTATTAATTTTAAATTAAAAATAAAACATAAAACTCTGTCTAAATTTTGATTGAAATAAATCTTAAAATCTTTTTTTTTTATGATTAGTGTGATTTATTGCTAATTTATTAAATTTTATATTGTACTAATTTTAATTTTTTTTTTTGGATAAAAATAGAATATCGGTCTTGAACCAATTTATTTTCCTTTTAATTTCAACATTTTTTTAAAATTTTAAATTAAAAATTAGATATTATTTTCCACACTCAAAATAAATAAAGCTAAAACTGCGATGTTTAAGTACATAATTAATACTTATAATCAAAGGAGACTTTAGCTTAAAGCACTTTAATTATTACATGAAAATTAAGTGTTTTTGTCGGAATTTTTTGCCGGTAAATGCTATTTTTTTTATTTTTCTGTAAAAAATAAGTACAAAATTTTTGACAAACAAATCTATGGAAAATTTGGTGGAAATTAAGACTTTGTTTCGAATGACTTTCTCACTTAATTCTTAATATATAGATTTTAGAAAAAAAATTAAAGTTTTGTCATAAAAAAAACGCTTTAAAAACAAAAGGAATGTCGTTCCAAAGAAACGCTAAGTTCATACGGTAAAGTTGCACCCAATAATCCTATGGAAATCAAGGCAATTATTTTGTGAACCATTATCCCAAAAATACTTATTATTAATATTTTTTTAAATTTTTATTTATTACTTATTATTTTAATTAAAATATAAACATACTAAATTTTCAACATATATCTTAAATCATCTCTGGTAGGTTACTTGTAATAAGAAAATAAATATTTCTTAGGATAATATCTAATCTTTTTTATTTATGAATAGCTTATAACAATATATATTTTTAAAAAGTTTGATTCTAAGAATAAATGAACACATAGAGGTGAAAGAGCTTGTCTCTAGAAATAAAAGAACACACACACACACTATATAATTGTAGATTTATGAATGAAATGATATTTTTGATCACGAGTTATAGTTAATAAGTAAGTATTTGATTGTATATGTATAATAGATGATTATTAAAGCTTTTTTAAATATAAAGTTCAGTTATATGCTGTAATTAGTTTATACTCAAGGGATTTTTTATTCAGCTTCATTTATATCTTTTTAAAATAGAATAATTAGTGGAAACAAAAAACTGTCAATTGTTGACTTCAAACTTATACTGAAAAAAAAAATTAAAAACAATAGTGTGCCCGTAAGGAGAATAAACAAAGAGAATATTTTTAATATTAAACTAGTTATGTATATAGTATAGATTGTCTAGTAGATATAATAGTATATTATAGTATATATATATTATTGATATATATGTATATTTATAATATATATATATAGTATGAGGATATGATATATAGGTAGTAGATTTGAAAAAAAATTAATTAAATAATTTTATAAATGAGTATTAAGTGCAACAGTGCTGTAGTCAAACGACATGCTCTTGGGTTCTCTTCATCTCCTTTTTTTTTCTTTTTTTTTTTTTTTAAATTTAGCTTATTCTATAGTCTATTTTTTCTGCTTCTCATACGTTAATTACTTTATATCATTATTTTTAATTGTATATTATTAAGACTTTGGCTGGTTAGATTCTATCCTTCAATGAAAAAATGGAGTTAAGCCGAGCCATTAGCTTAGTGTTTCACAATCAAATCATGACATATTTTTAACATATTTCCTTTTAAATTATTTATGAAAGAGCTTTGTGGTTTAGATGAATAATATTATATTTTATGTTGTCCAATTTTAAAATATGATGAAAATATGTCCAATTTACTTTATCAAGTTATTTCTTTATATTGCTAGTGGATCCTAATATTTTTCTCTAGAAAGAAAAAGCTTATATAAATTAATATTTTTGTTTGG